GGAGAAGGGGACACAGCTCGGGGAGGGGAGGACGGGCAGAGGCGGCTGCAGAGCAGTGACAATGGGCAGCCAGCTCATGGTAAACCAATAAAACCTCCCCAGGTCTGAATCTGAAATCAGACTCCGAAAAATACGGTCTCAAGGCACCTGCTAAAGAGCTTAGCATTACTGGAATCTTAATAAATGACTCATGCTGTCATAATCTGATCCTGACATCAGCTCTCCGGGCTCTGTTTCTTCAGCTCCGGGGGGCAGGGGAGGGGAAGGCTGCAAAGGAGAGAAGGCTCAGGGATGTAAGTGGCTTGTTTGAAGCCCCTCCAGCAAGAGATGCTGGTGATTTCTGTCTTGTCACCTCAAACCCAGGGCAAATGAGGCTTGAGCAGAAGAATTAGGGAGCGCCAGAGGAAATAGGAATTGCTCTTTACCTCGGGAATCTTTACCTGGTGCTGCTGGAGGTTGCTTTGTAGAGGATGTGTGGGTTTCCTTCAAAATCTGAAGTATTTTAGTGGGAAGGACAAGCAGATGGGAGTTGCTAGCACAAAATAGAGGTGATCATTGGCAGCATGGAGGGGGAGATGAATTCCTCACTCCTGGTGCTGGCTCTGACACAAGCTCTTCCTTTGCTTTGGGATAATCCTTGAACTCCGTTGCTTTGAGGGGGGTAAAACCCTTTGCTCTGCACAGGGATGGGTGGCAAATTACACGTGTGTTAATTATTTTAATCTTCTATGAATCTGAGTGTTAAACAGAGGTATTAATCACTAGTTTCCTCTCTGGCAGTGAATCACAAACCTCAACTTGACACAGGGACTTTTTATTTCTAGAACTTGAACGAGAGTCCTGTTAAAACTGCTCCAGAACGTGGAAAATTCAGCCGTGCTGAGGGGAAGGAGAAGGCAAGGGCTCAGCTCTGGGGTTACAAATGTGCTGTGTGGGGCGTTTTTCTGTTCACTCTTGTTGATTTGGCCACTATTCAGGGAAAGTGGAGATTTTATCCAACTCCTCAGTGAAGCCCTGTGGACACTGCAGAGCTCTGCACACAAAAGCCAGGCCCTGCTACGAGAAGAAATGCTTATTTTCCTGGTGTCGAGCAGATGCAGGGCCAGTGAGGAGCCACTTATGTTTAAATTCAGTTTCTCTGTGGCCACAGTGGCCGTAGTTCTTGGTGCATTTTAGAGCAACTTATTGGCCATGGCTTTGAAAACCAGCTTCTCCTCGTGGTTTTTAAAATGCATAACTTCAGCTTTTCCTTCCTGCTTGTTTTTCTTTTTTTCCTTACCCCTCTTTGCACGTGTTGGTGTTACTGGATACTTGAGCTCTCAGGCATTTTGCTCCCTTGGAAGATTAATGGCAGGGGTATAAGGCTGTTGGGCTTTGCAAACAGGAGTGGATGTGCCTGAATGGGGAGGGGAGAGATTAAAGCTGAAGATTCCCAAGCATGACAAAAATATTTGTAATCGTTTATTGCTTATATTTTATATCTGTATAGTGGTTTAATTATAAATTATATATGAAATTATATATAAATTATGACTATTATGTAAAATTATAAATTCTAGATTATATAACATATACAGATGTAAAATATCTGTAGTAACTTATTGCTTATGTTTTTACATATGTTTGCTTTATATACATATGTGAAACACACACACATATATATATATATATTTGCTTAGTTACTATTGCAGGGAACTGATTTCAACTTTATTTCTGAAGAAGGAGAAAGGGCACAAGGAAGAGTTTCATTACCCACCTAGATAAAGAGAGGTCCAAACTGCTCAAAGAGTAACAGAAAATAACAAAACCTTTCAGAACGTGGGGTGGGTTTTTTTTCTTTCGCAATCCGGGATCTTACAAATTAAACACGGTTAAAAAAAGCAACCACAGAACAAACCCAACCGAAAAATAAAAAACCCCAACAGCAACAAACCCCAAACAACCAGAAAAAAAAACCCCAATCAGGCCTGGAAATCAAATTCATGTTGTGCAACGTGATATTCTATTTACTTCTCAGAGGATTGTTTAAAAAAATAAAGCCTCAGTATTTCTGTCGTTCTTTTTTTTCCCTCCCCTTCTCTGTTTTTGCTATTAAATGTCACTGCTGCCCTTTGCTCTTTGAGCAGCAGTTGGACAGTTGGAGCAGCATTTTCATGCGTTAAACTCTCCCAGTAAATGGCTTGTAACAACATGTGAGGATGGGTCAGTCCTAAAGGTGCTTTTCTGTTTGGTTCTTGTGGACACCTTGTCCCACCAAAGGAAATGGTGCTGCTCTTGGACAGAACCAATACTGAATTTTTTTGGCCAGAGAATATTGATAATTTAAAAAGAAAGCCTGTTAAATGGTATGGAACAGTAAATGCCTCGAGTCAGGGAGATCTGCTCAGCCCAGGCTGCTTCAGAGCCAGGGAAGAGGGAGGAACAATTTCATATCCCAGCAGAAATGTTGGTGCTTAGACTCTGCTCATTTCCATGAAGCCAGGCCATGTTTGGGTGGTTAGGGGAGTAGCTCAGCCTTGAAGATCATATAATACTTCAAAACAGGCCCAAGAAGGACCAGAAGCTGTTTGTGCCATTGTTTGAGAGCAGATTACTCTGCACATGGACTCAAGGCACATGTTTGGGTCACCCCTGAGGGCTCCAGCAGAGCACAGTGTTTGCTCAGCTAATCCTTTGTCCCATCTTTATTTGTTACTTTGGAGAAAATACACCTTGAGGGTTGAAGAAAACACTCCTTGAGGGTTGAGGAAAATATTCCTTGAGGGTTGAGGCAGGACAGCAGGAAGAAACAGAGCTGCCCTGCTCCTGAGCCATGTTCTTCCCAAGAACGCGCAGAGGATGTTGTTTTGTCCCCAGTCCCTTGATGGGGAGCATGAGGAGAGATTTCACAACCATAAAACCCCACAATTAGCCCCCGGGGCTTTGGGGAAATCTAATTTCTTTTACCTTATCTCCTTATTGAGGGGAGAGGGGAGAAGGGGAGGTTGTGTTTGAAAATGAAACATATGGCTGTGTCATTTTTAAAAAGCCTTCTGAGACAAGATTGCAGAGAATTCCTTTTCTTTCTGCCTCGTGGCCAGCACTCCTGCCAGAGCCCTGGGATGAGGGGAAGTGCACTTTACCCTCCTGCTCACTGCGAAGTTTGTTGTTACAGGGAGTTCCTCCTATCCTGGGAAATGTAGGGAGAGACCCCTCCTTGCAAATAATCCCCAAGCCAAACACACTTTGTGTGAGTTCGACCCGAATCTGTCAGTGCTGCTGTGACATCCATGTGCTGATGATGGCTGGGAGCAGGAATAACACTTGTCACAGTTGTGTCTCCTCTGGGATAGTTGGAACAATCTCTCTAAGTCTTCTCTTTTCTCCTTTCTCCTCGCTTAGATCCAAGATCTCCTGCCAGGCAGGCAAAGAAGTTTGAAAAAAAGAACAGAAAATCAGTCCTGGTTTGCCCCTTGTTTCAGCCACCTCTCTTTTTGTTAACTTAATGGGTATTCTCACATCCTTATATATATTTTTTAAAAAATTTTTCCAACTTGATGAGTTTTGAGGTCACAGAAGTCTGGTCTTGGCCCCACTGACATCAATACCAACATTCCCACCTTCCCCAGAAGTTCAGCTCTGGACACTGGTGCTTTCCTTGTGAGTATTCCACCTGGGAAGACTAGTTTTTGGCTTTGCTGTCTTTTTTGGCTCGAATCAGCTGCATTTTGCCTTCCTCAGTGTTGTAGCAGTGTTTACAAGAGGTGTGTGGGATACCAAGCTCTGCCAGAGAAGCTTTTGGGAAAACTCTCTTAGGGCAGCCAAACCTCTTGGAATAATTGTTTGTGTGTTTTGGTTTGAGTTTGGTTTGTTTTGTTTTGTTTTGTTTTTTAACTTGGCTGCCAACACAAAGAACCAAGGGAAATAATTCCCAGTAAAATTTCATTTTGCTTGATTTTTCTTTTTTTTTTTTTTTTTTTTTTTCCCCACTCGTTCTTTGACAAATTAAACCCCAGAAATATTTCATTTCACCAAAGCCCTCAAGTGTTTCATTTGGGGTCATTAAGAGGAGCAAGGGAAATGAAGGGTTAGACTTCAAAGGCAGTGCCTGGGGGCAGTTCTTGTTCAGTCAGGATGGAGGAGACCCTGCTCCAGCTCTTTGCTCTGCTGGAGAGGAGCTGAACACAACTTGTCTTGCTTCCCAGGAAGGTTTCCCAGGAAGAGGCTACTCAGGGGTGAGGATAGGATTAGATGAAAAATGAGCTGGGAGAGACACAGGCTAGATGTAAAAATAAAAGTAAGCAATGCTCAAAAAAACGGTTCTTTGTTTTTGAGCTGCAATTTGGGAAGTGAAACTGGAAACCTTCTTTGTAATGTTCCTGAACTTGATAAAGCAGATAACTTGGAAGGAAAGATATGTGTGTTGGACGATTTTGTCCCGTTGAAAATTCCCATATCTGTGTTTAAATTGTTTTATTATCACAGACTTGAAGATGTAGCACCTTTACCTGCACAGCAGGAGTTGTCGAGAGCTGGGCAAACACCCTGTTGGTCAGGACACAATGTTTAAAAAGTGCCACTAAATCCATGTATTCTTGCTTGCTGTAGCTTTTGTCTCTGCCTCCAAATGAACCATAAAATGAGTAAATGCAGAGCAGGGCTGTTGTGTGGGGAGATATTTGGGAAGGAGGGTGGGCAGGCCCTGGCACAGGTTGCCCAGAGAAGCTGTGGCTGCCCCTGGATCCCTGGAAGTGTCCAAGGCCAGGTTGGATGAACTTGGAGCAAGCTGGGCTAGTGGAAGGTGTCCTTCCTGTAGCAGGGGGTGGGATGAGATGATCTTTAATGCCCTTCTAACCCGAACCAGTGTGTGATTCCACGATTTTCCAGTTTGTGGAGGTTCCTCCTTGGCCTGAAGGCCGGGCCCGGATCCCTCCTGCTGTCGGCGCCCGGCGCCTCTTGGGGTCGAACCGATGTGTTTTCATTCCAGTCTAACCCCTCCCATCCCTGTTTCGCTGCAGATCCCTGGATGGCAGGCTCCAGGTGTCCCACAGGAAAGGCCTCCCCCACGTGATTTACTGCCGGCTGTGGCGCTGGCCGGACCTGCACAGCCACCATGAGCTGCGGGCCATGGAGATGTGCGAGTACGCCTTCAACATGAAGAAGGACGAAGTCTGTGTCAACCCCTACCATTACCAAAGAGTGGAGACCCCAGGTACTGCCAGATCCATGCCCAGCCCTCCTCTCCTCCCTCCCAGCACCTGGGATTTCTAAGTGCCTTTCTAGGTCTGAAAGCCAAGGTGTATTTATTATTGATGATAATCTCTTGCTGGAGGCGGCGGAATAATTTATGAATCTGCGCCCAGGGGGGAAATATCACTTGGTGTGGATGAAATCCAGTGGCAGGTTGTGTCGTTGCCAGGCTCCTCATGTGGCGTTGTGGCGCAGAAACCGCTCCCACACGTGGTGGGAACTGTGGCGGTGTTCTGTGTGCCCCTAATTGTTGGTGCGAAATCAAGGACAAACTGACTGCGAAGAGGATCTAAGAACAGCTCCCAGCACAGCTAAACTGCCTGTTCTGGAGTCTCCTGCTGCCTCTGAGAGAGACTTTGCTGTGGAGCTGCAGCTCTTTGTGTCAGCGCAAACCTGCAGGGCCAGCCGGGCTGTTTGTGCTGATCCCACCTTGCTATTCATTTTACATAGAACATTCCTTTTCAGCCATTTCTGTAACTTCCATTAAACTGGTTTGCAAGAACAGCTGTTTCTTTGCCTGACAAGGGGCAGAGAGTCCAGGTGTGGTTCTAAGTGTCCCACCCCCAGCTGGGATGTGTTGGAAATAAAAACCACCTTGACCTGCTCTTATTTCAGAGGGAATCAAGTCCCTTCATTAGTGGCTCTGTGCTGTGGGTGTTTAAAGGTGTAACTCCAAACTGGATTCTCTCATTTTCCAGCGTTCCAGTGGCTCTGTTTTAAAGCTGTTGTGCTCTTCCCTCCCTCGCTGCAGTGTTGCCCCCGGTGCTGGTGCCCCGGCACACGGAGATTCCGGCCGAATTCCCGCCGTTAGACGATTACAGCCACTCCATCCCAGAGAACACTAACTTCCCAGCAGGTATCGAGCCCCAGAGCAACTACATTCCAGGTACCATATACCTTCCATCCAGCCAGCACAGGGAAAGGGTCCCACTGCACAGGGAATCACGGGTATTCCCAGCTGGATCACTGGGAAGCCTTTCTTTCCATCATTACTCCGAACCTGGACAAAAAGAGGTGCAAGCTGTAAATGTCCTCAAAACTCACCTCTTCCCTTCAGTTGTATATACAGAGTTTATTGTGAAATCCAAAGCTGAACATTCCCCCAGCAGGTTTAGATTTGAATGAAATCCAGCCATTTTAATTGGAGTAAAACTCCCAAAATTTCTGATGGAGTCGAGCTCTTCTATTTCTGTATCTCTTTCACAAGCAATTTACACTTTATTTGCATGGACAAACTATGCAGCTGCACTCCAGGAGAGGAAAAATATGTGGACAGAAAACTGTGTCTCGATGGCTTCAAGTTTTAGGGGCTGAAAATCCAGGTTTTTTTGTTCCCCCCCCCCTCCTCTGCTATTCACAAACATGAATATCATCCTGGTTGGGTTGGCTCCTCCCTTCAGCAGCTTGAGGAAGAAAAGTACTGAAAAAGAATTTTGTCTCCTTGTGGATAACACAGTAAATGGTTTTGGTGGTCTAAAACCCAGACTTTGCATCCAGTGGCACTGACAGTCTGACCATTCTGTGCTTTAGAGACCCCTCCTCCAGGATATCTGAGTGAGGATGGAGAAACCAGCGACCACCAGATGAATCCCAGCATGGATGCAGGTGAGTCATCTTCTGCCTTGTGCTGCAGCTTTCTGGGTCATTTCAGAGAGCCTTTAAAACTTTTAACTTGGGCAGTGAGGATCAGCTGGTGGCTTGAGGTGGTTTATCCCAGCAGGAGTGTAAATGTAGCCTGAAATCTCACGCAGAGCACAGGGCTGTGTGTTTTAGAGCTGAAAGGCACAACGTGTTCCTCCTCCTCCTCTCCAAAAATCCAGCATCAGGTTCTACCCAGCAGGAGCCTGAAACAGCAAAGACACATCCAAGGGTGACAATTTGTCTTGTGTTTTGTGTCCATGTACAGGGAGATTGTGCATTTTTCTGGCCATTTACATAAATAATGAAGAAATAGATAACATAAGATAAATTTAGGTAATTAGGAAATCTGAACTTAAATGTCCAGTTTATTTCAAAGGACCACAAGCAGATTTGGTTTGAAATGGGTTTATCATTTCAACACCAAGAAAGTTGAATGCCTGGGTTCTCTCTCATTGCCAGGAAAAGAAGTAACCAGGTTTAGAATGGTCCAAACTGAAATGATTGAGGATAAAATTCTGACAGCTGTTTGGTCAGATCTGTACAGCCTGATCCAGAGTCCCAAACCCAGTAAGATTTGTGGATAGAAAGTGTTATATTTCCAGCTGTTGGGAGTGTGTTTCGTGCCTGGCAATGCAGAACCAGGCTCTTCAGTGTCCAGCTGACTGGGTTTGTCTGGAGCTGTCAGGACGATACCTGAAATTTTCCTGGCTGCAAGTGGAAGTAAAACATCCAACTCCACGCTCAGTTTGCAAAATTAATGGGTTAAGCTTCAGTGGAGATGTAGCAAGCTGATATAAGTGATAAGTTTGGAAGCTCATGTAAGGATTAATAAACATCAGAGAAGCTGCTGGTGTCAAAAAGGAGACTGGAGTGAGAGGTGGGTTATCCCCCCAACAAGCCTGGGCAGCACTGAGGATCCTGTGTGAGTGTTTTCCCTTGTGCAGATGCCACACCAATAATTATCCTGTCTTGATTTTCAGGTTCTCCCAACTTATCACCAAACCCCATGTCTCCAGCACACAATAATCTGGGTAAGCATGTGAGCTTGGCAACTGGCTGCAATTACAGTCAAGAGAGTGACATTGTAATGATGGCATTCCTTGAGGCTGGGCACTTTTGAGGAGGTTGTGGGCACTGTTGATGTTCCTTCCCCACTAATCCTCTTGGCTGTGATAACAATGGCTCGTGGTAACTCTGCAGGAAATGAAGAAATCTGAACCCGCATCAGAGAGTTAAACAAAAAGCCCAAGAAATGTTGGCAGATAAATAGCAGAAAGAATGAGGGAAGGACTGCTGCAACCCCACACTTGTTTGGTTACGTGACTTTGCAAGAATATGGCCTTTTCTGTCCCTTTTGCTGGTGGGTTTGTGTTCTTATATTTTTAAAAGGCACGGGTTGAGG